AAAAAAACGGATAAATAGGACTATAAAACTATAAATGTAAAACTATAATTGTTTCTATTAAAACACTACAAACAAAATTTTAAGTGGGAAAATAATTTCAATGAAATCAYTAAAATGCAGATGTAAAGAATGAGGCCCAGGACAGCCCCCCTGACACCCGTAGAGCCCACACTGGGTCAGAGCTGCATCGTTGAACACATTGCCCAATGCCACTGACTGGGCCCCCCAATCCAACCTGACACTCCATCRCTGAAAGCAGACGCCTCCATCTTGGGACACCTTCGTTGTTACCTATAGTTGTGGCTAATCCCAGCTTAGAACACCAGCTGGGCAGGTATCCATAGTCCCCAGCTGCTAACCCCGCACAGTGACTGCCCAATACAAAATAGCTCTCCAAGACAGGTTCGCAGCCCCTAGAGTACAACCCTTAAGACCTCCTGAGAGAAAGGTCCCTGATTAGGAATAGAAAGGGAGTGGGTGAGTGAGATACACTTTAGAGAATAAATTAGAGACAAGGAACTATGAGGTCTATAGGTGATATAAGGAGATAAGACCAGGTGCCCACATCACACAAGCAGTCCCCAAAGGAGATCCTTGGGAGGCAATCTCTTCTCAGGGATCAGCTGGTGCCATACCCCACTTCCAGGTGCTCTGCACCCAAGACCAACCCTCCCACCCTGGAAACCTTCACATATGTGTTGTGAGATACCAGCTCACAACAGATGGCCCCGCCTATTGGATGAAAAGGGAAGCAGAAAACATACTGATCTCCAACCAAAACAATCCTTATTTCTTCCTTTAAGACTTTTTTTTCCTCCCTCTCTATTCTGCCRCCCTCACATCCCAACATTGGTGAAACCAAGTACTTTGCATGAATTAGGATACTAAGGACTGGGATGTCTGAATAGTATATTCCAGTTGTGTTGTATATTCTTTTATTTCCTATTTTTGTACTTTTTGTTTTTCTTAATATTTATCTGTGTTTGTTTGATATACTCTTTTGTCTTCCCACTTACTTGTCTCYCCAAAATCATTTCCTCTCCCTTCCCCCACTACTAACCATCTTCTTTAGATTCCCTTTTCACACTTTATCAGAAACTATAAACCCTTTTGCAAACCTACTRTTTAATATTGTAGAAATTAATTGAACTCACCAYTTCTGTATATTATGACAAAACTGTAAATGCTTTAATAGAAACAATTTGGTTTAAGGTTTTATATTGCTTGTATTGGTAACATTGTTCTTCCCCTCAAAGAAGAGGTATTGGAATCCTGCAGGAGCACTATAAGCCTAAAGCATAAAAAA